CTGTTGCAGTTAGGACGAACCGAGAATTAATTAAAAAACACGGTGCTTTTATTCACAGTATAGAACAGGTTACGCCTCTTTGCGGGCGTGGTTATCCCCTCCACACGACGCGCGACGCCCATAAAAGGCGCGGTCTACCTCGTTCCGAGCCTCGAAGAGCATGTTTTGCGATATAAAAATTGTTCAACGCCAAAATATGATGTTGCATTCGCGCTGCAGTACAATTACACGAACCATTATTCCGAAAGGGGACAAATGATGAAATATAATTAAAAATTGGATGCTTTTTAATCTAGCAACAGATGTAAACGTTAGAAAACACACAGTGGAGGATACAATCTGAGCCGCGCGAGGGCTTCGAAGGTCGTCTTCCTCGATCCGATTCCCGTATAATTCGCGGACTGATTCGCGTTGGTCAACGAAATCAATAGTACCTACAATTTGCTATGAATAACCCCCGTCTTCGTTGAAAACCACGTTATCGCGCATACAGGTCAATATTTCGGACACGTATACGAAGCCTGGGAACCAACAGATATGAACATTTACGTGCACACGTCTGGCATTGCTAACACGGCGACCGACGTCAGTCACCGATACGTATCGTCGATATCCTTTAACACTTTGACTGCCTGGCCGGTAGCTCGCCGACGAGGCAACTCTGACACGCAGACTGCACCTCGTTTCGTTATGGATTACCACGGCGTAGCTTGAATATGTGCTCATTAGGCTGCGGAGTTTTAAGAAACCGTGGTGCTCGCTGTAACGATACTCAACTTGCATTTGTATTTAGTCGAATAAATCACATTAAGCTTTCGACGCGTGATCTGAAAAGAAAAGGAATCATCTCAGGTTATACAAAACCTCGGCTAAAGAAATCAGTCCGTCGAATTCTGACTTACAAGAGAATCCTGGTGACACGCGCCGATTTTGATGAAACTTTGCGCAAGTATTTAACAGACCTATTCAAGAATTCAGCCGTATTTCGTTCGTATCCCCTTTTTACTTTGAGATAGAAATCAATCATTTTATCCGAACCGGTCCTATGCTATCTTCGATTCTATAAATCTGTGCAATAATTACTTCGATTGAGTCATGCTTTGTTCACTTTCGTAAAGAATGATATATTTTTGCGAAACACTGTTCGCAGAAATGTACGGGCTCAAAAATTCAAACTCATAAATTATTTTATGAGTTATGAGTATAATAATTATGAGTAATGAGTATAATAATAATTATTTTATGAGTATAAATTACATTAAAATCATTAACTTTAATTTCAACTAATTTTTGAAAATCGTTTGTCGCGTTTGCGATTCGTCGACGCTTACGTAGATGGGTCGGTTCGGATAAAAGGGTTGATCTCTCCGCTAGAGTGGAAAGCGGGCTCGAATGAAATACTTAATTCTTAGCTAATACTAAATTCTTAGCTAGGCCAAATGAACATTGGTGCAAGGTTTCATCAAATTCGGCGTACGTCAGTCACACAGGTTTCCCTTGTTAGATTGTTCCCCAGCCTAAATGACCACAGCGAATCAGTGTACCCTGTCCGAATACGTCCGGAAGTAGCCACCAGTCGTCTATAGTGTCCCCTATCAGTGTGATCGCGTGTGTACATGTGTGGTTAGGTGATCTAGTGAGAGCGCACGATCCGACGTTCCGAACTCGGAAAGATGCGAGCCCGGGGCGCCTACCCACCGGCCGATGGGGTGGATGGTTCGCTGACCCATGCAGACCGGAAGTCGATTTTCACTTATTTCCCAACGAATCGCGCCCGGAGCATGGTGAGGGGGTCGGTAATGGTCGCGGGCCAGCTTCCAGCCCCGCCAGACACAGGGCAAACACCGTTTCGCCTGAAAATCGGCCGGTTCGGCGTGGCGATTGCGACACGGGGGTGGAAACCAGGTCAGCCAGGTCCCTGATCTATCCCTGTCTCTCGCCCTATCGCCTTCTCTCTGTCGCCCTCTCGCCTCTCTCTCTCTCTTCGCGTGTCCCTCTCACCCCCAGGCGTGTCTCGGCCACCCCCGCGGCTGCATCTCTCCGCCGCATCCCACGCTTCCATCCACTTACCGTAACTCGTTATCCTAACGCTAGATTAACGGCTCCTTTATTACGTCAAGTCCGATCGACCAATCGCTGCCGACGCTGCCGGAGGCATCGAGATTCTTCCCGTGATCCCTGGATTTTTTAAACAATTTTCCAATGCCTGACACAGTGTCTCTGTATCCTCCATAATTGGCGGAAATGATTGCACGTAAGGATGAAGTTTATTAAATTCGGTCGATTCGTTGATGGTTATACATTGCTGTGCAGGTCGATGACGAGGAAGTTCGATCATTTGGAATTGACGAGCGTTTTACATAAAATCGGTAATTTAACCCTCGCGTGACGGTGGCCGGGTGTGCGGTGATATTTATGAATTACGTCTAAGGAGACATTATAAATTACTTGTTATAAGTAGAAAATGTAAATAGGTTTTTATTCCCTAGCATCTTTCATTATGGCAATATCAGCAATAATCGAATAATAAATAAGTCAATGAAAGTGAAATGCTATAGATGCTAGTACGGATCACTATGGTTCGTCATGCGAGAGTTAGACAGCGATTAAATTGATTGGACTACATTCTCTTGTCTGGGAACAATTCTACGGAACAGTGTTTGAAATTGTTTCAATAGTTTCCGCTGGAATAATAGAGCATCCTATTGGAGGATTGTAAGAAAACTCAGCTGAAAGTGTAATTATGTTTTTAACGATAAAAATGCTCTCTGTGGAATTGTCGCAAATGCACACAGATTCGCGATCTACCGACGAAAGACCCTTAAGCAACAATGTTAAACAAATTCAACGTGCTGCTTAATTTACTTGGATAAATTGTTTTTATAAAAATGCTTGTTCCGTGGAAGCAGGATCACTTCGTACATAAAACTGCAAGGAAAACAGATCGGCTATATAAATAATGTTCTCATTTAACCTCTTAGGCACGGCCGAATTCTACGCGGACTCTTTACGGCAGAGTTTGACACGAATTACGCGTAAACGATGCAGCACTGCAATGCGTGACACTGGCGGATCAGAAACAAAGACTATACAGGGTGTCTCAGAAATATGGTATTTCCAGGAAATTAGAGATTACTGAGGTCATTCGAAGCAACTTTTTCCTTCACAAAACTTTTCTCCGAGGCATCGTTAACGAGTTATTAACGAAAAACACTGACCAATGAGAGGCGCGCTCGCGAGGCGAGCCAACGAGCGGTCGAAGCCCGGTTCCGCTGATTGGCGCGGCCGACCCGCGCTAGTCGAGTGCTCGCCCCTCATTGGTCAGTGTTTTTCGTTAATAACTCGTTAACGATTCCTCGGAGAAAATTTTTGTAAAGAGAACCATCACCTTCCGTAAATACCACACCATTTATTCTGTCTGTATATCATTTATACTGTTGTAAAACGTTGTGAGGGCAAAGAGGTGTCGAGCAAGACAAATGAAAACGATCGTTTAGTTCAGGACGGTGAGCGAATAAGTCGGTAGCGTGAGCCACTGTAGCGGCTCATCGTAAATAATATGACGTCCGCGAAAGCCACTTTAGTGGCGCATCGTACCTAAGAGGTTAATTCTAGCTCCGAAGAAACCGTATCGATCCTCGATCAGCAACCATACGAGTTCGGTAACAAAGGAACCAGTTGCTCGAGAAGCTGTTCTGTTTCGAAGAACTTTCGGAGCAAACAACTTGCTACGACATTTCGACCAATATCCCAGAGAGTCGCGTAACACCCGGGGCAGCGTCGGCAGGATGAACCAGGGCACCAGGTCCCCAAACATCAGATCGCATTATTTAGTACCTACATACGTGTCAGCCTTCGGTGTGGCCGACGTCTGCGTCGTCCGTTTCGCGAGACCCGACCGTTCCGCTTGAAACTTCGACTCCGAAAGAGACATTTCCGATGAATCTGCATGAGATGAAATTTGCATTTCGGTTCGCATTAAAACCGAACGACCCGGAGCCCTCCTCTCCCGGGAGGACCGGGCGCGCGAGGAGGTCAGAAGTTCTCGAGGAAAAGTAGCGGTTCGGGTCGGTCCATTAAGGGGATCGATGAGGAGCCGTGCCGGCCGATCTCGGGTCTCGCGAACACGTCGACGGCCCGATCCGAACGCTTAAAACTCTGTTACACGATGATTACGCACACTTCGATAATGGTTTACGGCGACCCGCTGGCGCGCGAAGACACCCTTAAAAAATATCTACTTTCACCGTTGCCGAGTGTCTCCGTCGGCCATTGTTCTCCGCCTACTTATGCTCGTGTGTATGTATTATATTTAATATGTATAATATGTATATACCGTTTTGTTTCTCTCACCGTGATCCTGTCTGCCAGTCTGTGTACGAATTTCTCTTCTTGTATTTATATTTATATATTTATATATTTATATATTCATATATGTATATATATATGTTTACGTGTTCATATGTATATATATATATGCATACTTTGTTTTTCTTTTAACAGTTCTGTACATCAGGTTAAGTAACACACTGGCTGGCTCGCGAGTCTCGCACAGTTACACCAGTCTTAAACACCGAGTTAACGTTATTATCGCTACGACAGAGCTGCTGCAACCTTCTTCCGCCGGCAGTTTCCTCGACGGAGTGTCAGTTTTCTTTATTTTTTTCTTAGCTTTCCATCCTTTGTTTTTTTTTCTATTTCGCGTGTGTTTGTCTCCTGAAACCGACGAGCAGTAAACCATTTTGTTAATAACGATACAATTGGTTAGTCTAAAAATTGGATCCGAAGGAACGTCGAGGTGTGGATGCTTTCTCGGGGGGAGGGGGAGGTGGGGGTTCGTTGAGGGTTGCGTATGAGCTTGAGCAGATATTCGAGTCTCCTTCGACTCGCGACTCGCGAACGGTGAATGCTGTGCAGCCATGCTTACGCAGACTTTTTCGTTTTCGTTTTCTTCGTTTTCTTCGTTTTCTTCGTCGTCGTTCTTTTTACCTTCTTTTGGGCTCTCTGCCGCTGGAAAACATCTTTTATCGCGCTCGATTTGACCTGGCGAAGTTTCGCCGTGGCAGAAATGCATGCTCTTTAGATGCGCGATGTTTTGGACGCTGGATATGAAATTGAAAATTGGATATCTCCATTTAGGTTAGACTGCGTTCGGACGCACAGGTCCCACCGACTTGCGATCGAAGACTGGCTGCGTTTTAATTGATCTTTTAATCGTTACAATGGTAAATGATCCCATTTATTGCACGCATGAACACTGGATTTAGATTGGGCAGTTGTTTATCCTTAACAGATGCAAGCATCGTAGAGAAATCACATTTAAACGACATTTATAGATTTCTGGTACTGATTGTTTCTTATCGATTAAGACATTTGACGATTGTTTACGAATAAACTTGCCAAGAGTACTAAATTATGTAACTGATGCATTTATGTAAACTTTCATGATCGCAATGGCTTATAATTCTTTCAATGCAACGAAACAGTAAAATGCTTCAAATTTTTCGTTCAATGATCGTTTACGAAGTTTTTATCCATATCGCTGTTAAATAATTATGATATCGAGTAGACATGGCTTCGATGAATTCTCTTCGGCCAAAACAGCGTCGGTGAAACCTGCGTCGATGATTTCAACGCGGTGTCCCTCGTCTACGGCTTAATTATATCTATAGTACCACCGAAACCCAAATGTTAATTAATATGTCGTATTCGATAAATATAAAGTTAATCAAGTAACCTACCCCGCTAACTCTACCTACCGAAACGCTTCGAATCGCTGTACCAAATATCAAAACGTTTAAAAGCTCTCGAATGTTATTGGAACGCGAAATTCCGTCTCGGGTTATAAAACGATCGAAGAATTTGAAAAAATACACAATTACACAGAAACCATCACAAATTATCGAACTGGAACTCTGCGTCGTTCTCGATCGATTTCGATTAACGTACTAATATCGAAGTGCTCGTACACACATCCGCAGTCTCTTCGAGAGTATAAAATACCGCGAACCATCGCCTCGACTCTAGCCGATTCTTGTTTCTAGCTCGATAATCAGTTCCAGCCAGGTCGAAATAGAACTCGGCAAAATCGTGGGAGCAATTTCAACGGTTATCGATCGACAAACCGAGTTTCCAGCGAGCAGAGAGGCGGAGAGAGAGAGAGTCCGACTAGCAACGCGGATGCCCGGGTGGCAGCGTTCCCGGTTCCTAGCCTCTTTCAGGATCGGCATGGATCAGCCATTTTTCCGGAATTCCTCCTGGTTTCGCTTGTGCGGCGAGTTGTTTGCTTTTCCGCGGCTTTCGCAAGCTCTCCGAAAATGCTACCCCGCGGTCGACGCACCGCGTTAACGTATTCCACGTTCCTGGGTGTTCCATTGTACGCCGGGGAGAGTTGCGCGCGGGAGCGCGAGAAAAATCGGGAGAGAAAGGAAGAGGGAAAAAGAGCGGGGAGAGCGGGAGAAGTGCCGAGGAGAATGCACAGAGGGAAGAAGAGAGACCGGAAAGCAGGAGTTCGACCACCGTTGTTTCCCCGATCGAGAGATTGCGAGAGTCCCGCAACGAAATCGTCCGACCCGATCCAGAGTCTCTCCGGCGCACTAATCGAATGAACATCACGATCTTGGGGATCCGACATCACACCGATCCGGGGACCGGCGCTCCGTTTTCGGGCTGCGATTTGATTAGTGGCGGCGCTGGCTCTGACAAGAAATTATTATCCGCAGACACGGGACTTCCGTGGCGGCAGCCTCGCACCTGATTAATCCATTACGGTTCTCCTTTGTTCCTGGCCAACCGGCAGGCACTTTGCGACGTCTGATATCCATTCCGCCGGATGTCGACGACGTCCCCCGTCCCGGCCCCGTCTTCTTGTTCTGCCAATCATGTTCCGGGCTCGTGTTTTCCGCGGATTAATCTGTCCGAGCGCAGACAGTTTCCTCATTTCGCCGAGATCGATCGTCCCGTGCTCCCCTACGATCTGTCCTTGGACACCTGGAACGCGTCTACCTCCCTCTTATTTCCCGTCTTCTCTCTCCTGCGATCTTCGAAACTGGTCCGATCGCGATGTCCCGTGCTTCGAACAGACACCAAGAAGTCTTTAGACGTCCATGGCGTCGCCCACGTAGCCCTCGTCGGGGCTTTCCGGGTGATGCGGTGGCTGCAGGTCCTCGGCCCTCGCAGCGGCCGCGGCTGCAGCCTCGCGGGCTGTTTTGCTGAGCAGCGACCTCGGGGACAGGGGAGTGGTCTCGCCACGGTAGGCGGCAGGTGGCGAAGGTATGAACGGCACCTCCGGGAACACCGCGACCGGGGACACCGGGGACATCGGCAGCTGCTGTTGCAACGGCTGCTCCACCGGTTGGATCTGCGGCGGCGGCTGCATCTGGGCCGGGTACGGGTAGCCCTCCGCGGTGTACCTGCGAAATCCACACGAAACCGACATTTTAATTGTTTTCGTTCTTTCAGAGATCATCGGCGGATATTGACGGAGTTAACAGAGTTTTTTCGACACGGTCACTGACGCGAACTAAATATTTTAGGGACTAAATCAATTTTTAGTATACAGGATGTCCTGTATACTACTATACTACTGTATATTACTAATTATGGTGCTTCCTGGAAATAAGGGATTCCTGAGGTCATTCGATGCAACTTTCTCCTTTACAAAATTTTTCTCCGAGGCACTATTAACGAGTTATTAACGAAAAATAGTGACCAATGAGAGGCGAGATCAGCTGCCGCGAGGCGGTCGATTCCCAGCTCGGCTGGCGCGAGGCGGCCGAGCCAACGGCGCCAGCGGTCGAAGCGGCCGAGCCAACGGCGCCAGCGGTCGAGGCGGTCGAATTCCAGCTCAGCTGGCGCGAGGCGACCGAGCCAATGAGCGGAACTGGGCTTCGTGCGCTGGTTGGCTGGGCCGCCTCGCGTCAGCCGTACTCAATTCTTATTGGTCACTGTTTTTCGTTAATAAACGAAGCCGCGGATTACAATTTCGCTGAGGAGAAAGTTACTTCAAATGACTTCGGGAATCCCTTATTTCCCGGAAATATCATAATTTTAGAACACCCTGTGTATATTATATGTATTTCTAATATTTATTTGTTTCATACGTTCATGTCGTTTGAAAACATATTCTTTTAATAAAATTGAATTTATTTAGATATGAAAAGAATAGTTACAACTTACAGTGTTTAATTAATAACAAGAAGTAGTTGCAAGTTGATATATTTTTTTTGTACCCCGGTTTGACGCTTTAAACATCGATTGTCGTAAAACTAGTTTAAACGTTTAAAAATTAGAATGTTTAAACTTTAAAATGATTTTTGGACTTGAGAATGCAAGTAAACGTTTTATTTTATTTTTAGAATGACTATTCTTTCAGTTGACAAAGGAAACTTTTCTTTAATTGTAATGTTTGTAAAATGACGTATGGAATTGAAATTGGCATAAAGATCTGCAGTTTAGCTATGAAGATTCGTAACCAGCAGAAGGATTAACCGCTTTAATATTTAATTCGCACGTGGTACAGATGAGAGACACATTGTTCAACCTCTTACACTCGGATTTTATACACAACTTTGTCCTTAATAATTTCTCCGATAAATTATCACGATATGGGACACCCTGTATACTCAAAGATGCTTACTAAATATTTTACCGCCTGTGTAACATTTTATAGTCCAAAAGAAGTGTGCCATCTAAAGGCTAAATCCCTGATTTTAACGAACCACATCTAGATACACTTTAAAATTCTCTATGTTTCATTCTGTAACTACTTGACGTCACTTTGGTTCCTCACAGCGGTTTCAGTAGGAACGTAAAGGTAGCAGTTGCTCAGAACATAAAAATTGCGTGAATGATACCTGGCATCAGTCCTGGGCAGCACAGGGTCGTAGCCGGGCGACCTCGCAAGGAACTCGGCTTCCCTGGAGTACCTGGCGGGTGGCGCAACGGCGGATCCCTCTGCCATTCTGGTCCGCAGCCGAGGCAAGGTGCTGGCAGCGCTGAAGGGTATCTTCGGCAGGCCAAAGTTGAAGGGGTAACCATCCTGGTCGAGGTAGCTCAGCTGGGGAATGGTGGGCTGGCGGAGATCCGGCTGAAGCGGATAACCGGAATCGTACTCGGGGATCTGCCTCTCGCCGGGCTGGTGTCGGTACAGTTGTCCATAGCCGACGTCCGTGGCCTCGGGGACCTCGTTGATGAGGTCCGGCTCCGTCAGGTACTTGGACACCGGGCTGCAGTAAGGCTCGTCCACGGGCCTGTGCTCCCTGTGCTCTAAAGTCGCGGCCCTGTTCACCTCGCGCTCGGTGTAAGAGACGATCTGCTGATGTTCCAGCCCCAGCAAGCTGCCGTTGCCCTTTCGACAAGTCAGACTGGTCGTGGTGTCTTTGGTGATCGGCATCACCGACTTGTTCTGGGATACCAGGGCTTTCGAGTTTCGCTTCCTGTCCCGGCGACGTTTGCGCATGCAGAACACTATGCTGCCGATCAACGAGCCCAGGACGAACAGAGTGCCTACCAAAGCTCCCGCTGCGATCGCCATGATGTAGCCTGATCTGGAATGGTCGTTGGGCGGTTCGACGGTGATCTTCTCCTGGAATAGCACTCGTAGAGACAGGTTCGCCTCTGCGGAACCGGCCTCGTTCTCTGCTATGCAGGTGTACATGCCCTCGTTCGATGATTCTACCGTGTAGAGCAGCAGGGTGCTGCTCATGTTCGTGCCGCCCCGCTGTCGGTACACGTATCTGCGACAGATCGAATGCGATTTCATCAATCCTTGGGTTTGCCGCGCCTTCGAAGGTGACAGATGCAATTGACTACAGGAAGCTGAGAATTTTAATTTAGATCTTTTACAAGACGATTGACTACTACAATAACAGCCTTCTAGACAAACATTTTTTTCAGAAAATTCAATGTTTCAGAATCTGGGGACACTTGTTGACCCTCCTAGAACTGACGTACTATGACCTTGTAGCGGCACGCGATCGGCGACCGTAATAACCGTTAAAACTGTCCGCTCGCAGATGCCAAGGTTTCGGCAGAGTGAAAACTTCCTTGACGTTTGCAAGTACGGAAATTGCTTTATTCCTTTCCTTTTTTATTACCTCCACGTGCACAGCAGACCGAGCTGTGGAGAAGTCACCGGCCGCGTACCGCTACCCGGCCGAACGGCCAGCGCGGCCCTACAACGAAGGTTGGACGATACCTGTCTCCCCCGCCAAACTGGACGGGGTTGAAAGAAAGACAGCAAGTCTCCCAAAAAGGCGTGGCCTTTTTGGGGGAAGAATATAAATAACGGAGGCAAGAAACTGCACAAGCTTCTTCTTGTTAACTATTCCGTCGAACATCCGCACCGCGCGTCATCCGTGTACCACGCAAAATAAAGTCCGGTTGAGTTTTACCAACACCCTGTGTCCTTTCGTTGCAACCTCAAACAACACGTTACAACCTAAAAGTGACCTTGAAGTTGACAATCTTGAAAGTTTCAGCTTTAGATGCTTGTCTCCTGGTTCTCGCACTAAATGATAGGCAACGCGTAGCCGATATCGATTTGCTCGGTTTTTACAGCAAGGCCTTCAATTTACCGTTGATTGGGCCATTAGTTTGCAGTGTGTTTAATTCAGGGAACGGTTGACTGTCGGTAGACCACGGACGAGCGCGAGTCTCGTTGGAGCCTGTACGTCGGTTCATTGAACGAGGAAATTCGTCGGCGAACGGCTTGGAAAATTTACGAAAGTGGCGCACGTGACGGCTAATTTAAGGGGAATCGAGTTAAAGGTTCGTTCTCGCAGAGCGACGTGCCCATTAACGAACGTCGCGACGACAGAAGCGACGTGTCCGCGTAACTGAGCTCGGAATTCTTCGACGTCGATACCGTATCGAGCATGAACGCTTCGAACGAGCAACGGGATAACCGTGAATCATTGACGAGGCCGAAAGTTTCGTTAACGGCAAGCTGAAAATCATCAGCGGGCCCTTAATGGGCGGTGAAATATTCAAAACAGTGGAAATTCCTCTGCGAATTCGTAATTAGTACATGTCCGTGATTAACGGCCGTGACGCGATTCTTTTAGGACAACGAGCAGTGCCTGTTCCGTCCTGGACGGATCAACACCAAACAATCTGTCAGGTCATTCGAGGGCCTACGGGGCTTAACCCCTTAATGCACAGTTTTTTTTTAAAAAGGCCGGCCAAAAAAAGTCAATTTTTTGTAATGTAAAAAAAAAACAATTTAGAACGTTGTCTTGGCAAGAAAATTACAAAAATACAAAAATAATGGATATTTATACAATTGGTATGATTTCTAATTTTCAGAATATTACTATTATTATTATTATTATTATTATTAT